CTCTACAAAGGAGTCTGCGAGAAGCTGGGTATCTGGAAGACACGAACTACGGCGCTGCGCCCCTAATCGGATAGATGGGTGGAATGAATAAATTGGACCGTTGGAAAGTACCTGTCGAAAGTGCTACCTTGTGACCTGCAGTTTGGAAGTCGACCTGGAGAGCATGTGGCAGGCGACGAATACGTATCCACCCTGGAGAAACGGATGGCCGAGATCCCTGAGGAAGTGTGCTGACAGATCAATGTTGCGAGTGACCGGATGAAGGACCGTTACTATGACCCTGCCGAAGGCCGACCTGATGTGACTGTATAACCCCCAATCGACAGACCCCATTTGACGGAAGTAATGAGGAAGCAAGGGCCCACAGTCTTCAAACAGAAGGAGCTCTCGTTGGAAGAGTTCCTTGTAGCTTACTCAGAAAGCGGCGATGCTCGTTTTAGGCGTGTCCAAAGAAGTAGTACGCTAGGACTTGTATTGGCTACCCCGAAAGTTCGAAGAGCAACAGCCAGATGCTGGGAAGGTGCTGTGTGTTCCTAATGGTGGCTGATTCGTGTACGCAGTGGCCACCAGGGTAGCTCATCATCAGCCGCCGGCCAATCGAGCAATGTGGGAAGTACTGGTTTGCAGCGACCGAGAGGAGTCTAGGAGAAGACGGTGTCATGCCACTTCTACAGAACATCCAGGTGTGCCAAAGGACCGACCTGCCAAAATCGCCATAATCCATAGGACCTGTTTCGCGAAGAAACGGTCTTGAGGCGGAGGCAATGTAACGCCATCATAACTTGGATCTTGAGTGGCGATGGGACGGCTGTGCACAGTCGACGCTTAAGCAACCAGTTACGCGAATGTGCGTGAGCTCTTGTGGCGATTTCTAGAAGTTTTGGTCGAAGTTCGAAATGTATCTGCTGCCACCGCGACGCGGCCAGGCTGGAATGGTTCTCGACTCGTCGATAGGGGAATAAATACCCCACAAGGTGGCTGAAGTACGGAGACAGTTGACCCAGTGGACAACGAATGTGAAATTAAGATGGAATAATAGCCCAGTCGACCTGGATATACATTTGTTATAAATTAGTTGCAAGTGTTATAAATTAGTGTAGCAGTAATAAATTAGACTTTCAACAGTAAAACGTTTGTTATGTTTATTATACTATGGCCGCTAGGTGCTGCCAATTCTACAGGGTCCGTCAGAAAGAACGCTTGTTTTTCAAATGGGTACTACATCGAGTGGGCTGGTCCCGTGTCGTTGGGGAAGGGCGTGTTGAGTAGTAGGAAAAGTGCCGTTTCAGTTGGCAAGATGGTTTGGAATGTTGAGCATCGTGTGTTCACTGTACGTCGGTACTTTCGAAATGGCGAGTCTGTCGTTCGAACGCAACGTGAGTTTCGCGATCACTTTCGTGTTCCACGTCGTGGGACAGTACCAGTCATCACACCATTTTGAGATGGGTGGAAGCATTCAGCACAACAGGTAACGTGATGAAGAAAAAACCGCCAGGGCGAAACCGTACTGTTAGAACCCCCAAAAACGTAGACAGAGTGAGAGTTGACACGCTGCAAAGCCCGAGTCGTTCCGTCCTCTTGCGTGCCAGTTCCCAGGGATCCACGCGTCCTCTGTACCTCGCATCTTCAAGAAGGATTTAGTGTTTTATCCTTACAAAATCCAAGTTTGTCAACAAATGTTGCCAGGGGATTATGGACAACGTGTTAATTTTGCACAGCTCATGATTGAACAGTTGGATAACAATGACATGACGTTGTTTATGAGTGATGAAGCATATTTTCATTTACATGGATACGTCAATAAACAAAATTGTCGATATTGCTCTCCAGTGAACCCCCAACAGTTGCATGAGCACCCCCTCCATACCTCGAAAGTTACATTTTGGTGAGCAGTAGGCCCAACGGTGATTATTGGCACTTATTTTTTTGAGGATGATGGAGAAACAACTACTGTGAATTCAGAGCGTTACATCCACATGATGAACAACTTTTTTTTCCGGAACTTCGACGTCGACGTGTCCGTCTCAGAACAGTGTGGTTAAAACAAGACGGGGCAACATCTCGCACAGCTCGCACTTCGATGGAACTTCGTCGGAAAAAATTCCCCGGACATCTCATTTCACGTCATAGCGACATTCCATGGCCCCTTCGCTCCCTGGACGTGTCAACGTGTGATTTTTTTATGGGGCTACCTGAAATCAAAAGTTTACCGATACAAGCCTGGGAGGAAGGAGGAAATAAGAAGAGAAGTAACCTAAATTCCTGCACGGATGCTGGCCGACGTAATGGGCTCATTTCGGGAGAATCTTGATTCCTGCATTTCGGCTCAAGGGCGCCATATGGCCGACATAGTTTTTAGAACGTAAATTTTCTTTTACTCAAAAAAATGGCATGTATTTCTGAGTATTTTGATATAATAAAATATTTTTCCCATACTTATTTTGACTATACTACTCATTTAAAAAACATGCATTCTTTCTGACGGACCCTGTACTAATAATACTGCTTTCGTTCACCTTACCAACTGTGTACAACTGTTTCATGCTAGTTGGCAATCACTTCTATGTCTACAAGTATATATAATAACGAACGAAAGCAGAGCAAAGTAACTTCTATCAGAGGCACTCGTATAGTTTCTTACCTAGGCCGTGCTGGCGATTGCCAGCAAGCATGAAACAGCCATATACGGTTAATTGGATGGACAAAACAGCATTATTGGATATATACTTTAAAAAGTAATCTTCAATATATTATCGGGTGTGGTATTTGAATGGGAAGTTACATGATCCTACAAGACTCCACTGGCATATGGCTAGCTGTGATAAAATGGCAGCTGGCTAGAGGAAAGCAATTACTTACGACCCCGTTTTCCAGATTTTTTCATCTGGCTGGGTTGCAGCGTAGCGGCGTGTCGGCAGTAATGGCGCTTCGTCCGGAGAGGAGATGAACAAAATCATACATATGACAATCAAACAGACAGACTCTTTGAAAAGATATATCCGGGTCTGTTTAAAACTGAGATATCCGAAATACCTACTTGAACAGAACAGAAAAGTATGGCAGGCAAAAACGAATTTAATTTTCTTGACTTTGAAACTGTGTGGGTGTAAATTGGTCCAAGGTGATTATTTTCGTACGCTACAACATAATTTCAATAACGCCTAAATGTTAACGTCTAATTAATACCTGGGCAAAGTCTAGTCTAGTCATATCAAATGGCATTATGAGTTGCAGTTGTTTCTATCGATGTAGTACATGGTTTTGCTATTCATTTGGAATGAATTTTTACACCTTTTTTGCTATACATACACCCAGTGACAGAGAAAACAGAACAATCAGCAGAAATGTATTTTTTTATGAAATTTGTGCGCCCATTTTGGATATTCTGTGATAGATTAGTATTGTAGAAGGACCAGTCAACGGAGAGCACATGAAATATAATATTATTATTTTTATTATTAGATATTTTTATTAGATGTTTTGTTTTCTTTGTCACTGAGTATGTGTTGATTTGGCAAGATATCTTGTTCGATTGAACTTTGATGGTATCTCAGTTCGCTGTAACATCCGAATCATCACTATAACTGCTAAATACTACCCATTGTGTCGATAATAATTATTTTCAGTTTGCAACCCTCATGTTATGACAAAGTCTGATGGTCACATCAGCCTTTCCTCCAAACTTTTGACAAGTCACCTCCCGAGTCACCTTTTAGACAATATTTGGACAATGAATGTGGAATGAAGACAAGACACACAGATTATAGTATGTTTTATTTGTGCATTTTGATCTGACATTCGAAAAATAATAGCCAAAATCGTGTAACAGTAGTTAGTTAACGTGGCTATTGAAATAAGTCTTCACCGAGATACAGGGACCTAACGTTGTGTTTCTAGAAGCAAGACAAAATATATCTAGGAACTGATTGTATGATGGAGAGCATAAACAAATTAAAAAAGGCTTAATGCAAACTAAACCAAAAGATGTACATTTCTGACTTTTTCGAAACACCTATGGCATTTTTCAATAAGATGAATTGTCCTTATCATAACACATTTAAATTCGTTCTACTTTGAAAACAAGTTGAGATAGTGAGATTTGACATTGGAAATTATATGTAACTTATTAAGAAAGGAGTGCCACCTCATAATAATGATATTTGAAAAATATTCATGCTCTATCGTCAATCAGTATTTCACAAGGCGGACACCTATGGATCTATTTTTATAAAAACTTTTCATAATGTTTCCGATGTAATTTCTACCCTAGAGATATTGCTTCTGAGTAAAGTCTAAATATTGGCGGGTATTGTTGATTTATATGCGGATGCAGGACAAGGCCGACGCCACTGAGTGGTACCCTCGACGGAAATCATCTACTACCGAAGACATACACAACGGCCTTACCTAAGTATAACCTGTAGCTAGGAAGGAAATTTTAGTGCATGATTCGGAACTGCGTTTATGTCTTTGATCCTTATAACATATGTTGTCCTCGCCGATGACCATGAATATTGAAAAATAAATTTAAAATGTTTGGCCCACCATTCTCAAGGTTTATATAATGTAATAAAAATATTCAGGCCAAGCCATAATAGTTTACAGAAAAATATTAAACAAAAGCTCAGTCACGTGTACTTTTCAAATCTTAGGTTATAAAAAAATCTAAAAAATTGGAAAAATCTACACCCTGTGATAATCTTTTAGTTCCCATTACTACATATTTCATTTTTTTTTAGACTGAGTGGCGGACAGTGTCGTTCTATGTAGAGTCAGCAAGGCAGATATACGTGTGGTTGTAGTCACCGTTCTTGGCGGGTCAAAGTAAGACTACCCATTTGGGTAAGACGTCAATGCCTTTATATATCTCCATCTCCCTCCAGTGTGTGAACGTTGGTTCGGTAAGCTCAAAAACATACGTTTTTAGTTGTGTCTCCGTCTCGAAAACTTTGTCGTGAGAGTGACAACTTACTTGACATCGGCGTGCAATTCGACTTGGCCTGTTATCAGTCTTCAATATAAAATTGTACAATGCCCTGATATACGATCAATGGAGAAGGCCGACAGCTCGTGCTAAATTTATTAGAGTATTTCCAGGAAGAGAATGAAAACAGCGATCCCCTGTTACCCACTTCATGCGTACCTACTGGAGAGAGTAGCAGATGCGCTGAAGACTAAGATCCGCCCGTGGTACGGAGACTCGATCTGTTTACCTATTTCATATGGCGCTGATGGCGTAACCGCCAAGAACGGTGACTACAACTATGGTAACGCCACTTTTATTAATTCTTGAATATACAGGGTGTTCGCAAAGTTGGGGTTTTCCTTTACCCGACGTGTAGATCTTGAAAACATAAGCAATTTTTCTTAGTACCATATACACCAATGTCTTAAGGGAACCGAGATAAAGGGCTCTACAAAATCAAAAATATCTGAATACCGGCGTGTAGCCGCGACCCGCGATATCACCGACTGGTGCAAGTGGGTCGGGGTCAGTGTGTCAGGTCAGTATGCAACCTTCAACCGACGGTTACGGTCACGCGTGAAGAGTTAAACGAACCCGTATAATCGATTGCGTTTCAAAAAACAACAAGCACTAGAGACGTGGCTAGAGAAGTGCAAGTATCAAAAACTAAAGTGTGGCAAACCCTGCGTGAAGAGGGGCTGTATCCGTTTCACGTCTAACGTGTACAAGCCCTTCAACCTGACGATTTTCCAGCAAGAGTGCGGTTTTGTGAGTGGTTGTTGCATCAACATGACAATAATCCGGACTTTTTGAAGTGCATATTGGTGACAGACGAATCTACGTTCACGCGTGGGGTGAATAACTTTCGCAACACTCATATTTGGTCAGTAGAAAATCCGCACGCTGTCCGTCGGGCACATTTTCAACAAACATTTTCGGTGAATGTTTGGGCTGGCATGGTGAACGGTATGCTCATTGGACCATTTATTCTCCCAAATTTGTCATATTTGTTACCTTTGTTCGTGGCCTGCACCACCGCCGGCGTCTGCTCAGTAGTGCAACAGCTGATTTCATTTTCTGTTGGAGCGGTATGATTTCAGGCAGAGACGTACTTAGCCCTTCTCGTCAACTGGAGAGTGAGTACTTTTTCCTTTATTTTTTTTTTACTTGATCGCCCTCGTTTCACTATACATTACCTTTGTTATTTCAAGGGTAGTTGTTTCTGAAAAGGAAAACCCCAACTTTGCGAAAAAGGTGCAATATTCTACCAGCGGTTTCTAGAGCTTAAAATAGGAAAAATGTTTATATAAACATAGGTCGACAAACGTCCCCTAAGGACGCTATGGTCTTTCAAAGGAGCTCCCCTGAAGATGGTTTTTCCTTAATATACTAAGTGACATAATAAAATCCGAACACCCAGTTTAAATGGTTTTATTTTAATAAAAGCTGGTGAATGTATTTATCTTGCTGTAAATAACAAGTGAAAAAATTTTCAGCCTTATCAGTTGAACATTCCGGTTTTTATACTGCTTTTTTTTAATTCACTAACGCTCTAAAAATGAATATTTCAGCCGCAGTAAAGAATCAACGTTGGCGGATTTTGGTTCTTGACATCCTTTACAATCGGTTACGATGCCTAGAGTACGGAGACCTGTACGATTTCGTCAACTTAGTGAGTTTGATAGAGGCCGTATAGTGGAACTTCGGGAAGCTGGACTTTCTTTTCTTGCAATTGCAGTTAGAGTGCAAAGAAGTGTAGACACTGTGGTTAGGTGTTGTCAGGCATGGCTTCGAGAAGGCCGTACGCAAAGAGCACTCTCCACTACCAGGTCCATTGCAAATGAATGGTTTGCAGAACACGCAAGACCTATTGGCATGCGAAGTGTTTACCGACGAATGAGAAGTTTTGGCTTGTTTTCATACCGGCCACACTGGGTCCTCCCTTTAACTCGAGAACACCGACGTAATCGCCTTGAGTGGTGCAGACAACGGTCACTCTTGGATCAGGAATGGAACAGTATTGTCTTTAGTGACGAGCCTCGATTTTGTTTAGGCATGCACGATGGCCGTGCCAGGGTTAGAAGGCGACTGGTGAAAGGAGGAATCCACAGTTTTTTGTTGAAAGGCATGTTCATCACACTGTTGGAGTTATGGTTTGGGGTGCTATAGCTTATGGTTCCAGGTCACATTTAATCTTCATCAGAGGTAACATGAATGCGCAGCGTTATATCCACGAAGTTCTAGAACCCCATCTTTTACCCTATCTTGACACCCTGGCAGATCCAACTTTCCAACAAGATAATGCCCGACCACATGTTGCAAGAGTCACAATAGACTTCTTTCAACATAATGATGTAACATTGCTACCATGGCCACCAAGATCTCCCGACATATCCCCAATTGAGCACGTGTGGGATATGATGGGTAGGAGATTGCTCAATTTGCAACGTCCTCCTCAGACTCTAGAAGCACTTCGAGAGGAGTTGGTGGTTGCCTGGAATGAGATACCACAGGAGGACATTGACCACCTGATCAGAAGCATGCCTAGGCACGTTGGAGAATGCGTAGCACATCAGGGTGCATCCACATATTGTTAAAGGTCAAATGGCTTTAAAGCAGTGCAATCATTTTGAAATTTTTATCATTTACTTATTATGCTTCATTAAGTACTTATACAAAATTTTATTAAAATAAAACCATTTAAACTGGGTTTTCGGATTTATATGTCACTTAGTATATATCCGAAACGTGTTGAGATAAAGACATAAAATTTGGTATCCTAGCCTAGTTTTTTATGCTGGATTTAAAAATATTAGCAATTTTAAACAGTTTTGTTTGGAAGCGTATGTAACAGGGACGGACTCAGGTTATTTTAGCCCAAAAATTTTTGTGTGATTCTATTTTTGAAATTCAATTTTAGAATTTGAAAATTTAGGGTTTTCTACATAAAAAAGGTACTCTTATTGAGTATCGATAAATTGTGCCATTTTTGAATAAAATCAAACTAAAGAATTTGTCACATGATAGTAAATGTACTGCGAATTAAAATGAATTGTTGAATAATTAGTCATGGCAACGAAAAAACTAATTTAATAATTAATTGGTAAATATTACATACCTGTAAATACAAATTCTAAAATTGAATTTCTAAAATAGAATCACACAAAAATTATGGGGCTAAAATAACCTTACATATGCTTCCAAACAAAACTGTCTAAAATTGTTAATATTTTTAAATCCAGCATAAAAAACTAGGCTAGAATACCAAATTTTATGTCTTTATCTCAACAAGTTTCGGAAATATTAAGGAAAAACCATCTTCAAGGGAGCCCCTTTAAAAGACCGTAGCGCCCTTAGGGGACGTTTATCGACATATGTTTATATAAGCTTTTCTTCCTATTTTAAGCTCTAGAAACCGCTGGTAGAATATTGCACACTTTTTTCGGGACACCCTGCATATTGAATTCACAAGAAATGTTCAAACTGCATTCGTTCTGCAATGCAATGCAATGCAACCTTGTTATCTTAAAAATGTCAGACGGGTGAATATTCCGTTATTCACAAATTTAGCTACTTGCGTTATTCTGTTTCACAGCTCTGCTAAATTGTCGACTGGCTTTGAGTAAAATTTTTCTTTCACCATGTGCTTGATTTGGATGACGAGCAGCATTTTGGTACCTCTTGCGATAAATGCTAGCTGCAGCACTAGCATTGCATCTACATTTCCCATAAATATGGTTCATGTCGGCATATTTCTGTGTGATATACACAGACATGATGGGACTACATAATCGTGAATTAATAAAAGCGGTGTTACTATCTGTCTTGCTGGCAGTCGTCACTCCGCCTAAGAAAAAAATTGAAATTTGTATTAATGGGAACTAAAAGATAATGTCAGGGTGTAGATTTTTCCGATTTTTTTCAGACCCTATAATTTGAAAACTACACGGCTTAGATTTTTCTGATAACTATTATGGCTTGACCTGTCCCCCATTTTGACGTCGACTTGTGGGACTGAGATTATAACTCTTTTTTGTTTTCCTTTCCAGAGGGTCGCACCTTAGAACTGCACTCTCCGGATGCTGTTCATAGCTGCGTGCTACGCGCGGTTGACGTGACAGATGCAGCCGGTTGGTTCAACGCCCTCCATTCCGCGCTTGCGCGGTTGACACAGTTGGCGCTCAGGGATGCGGTCAGGTGTTTGCCGATGCCTGAACTCAGGCACATGGGATGGTTGCTCAGGAGACAGCCTACTACCATCAATTCCACTGAGGCAAGGATCGTATTATTATTATTATTATTAAGCATAGGGCGGGGGGTGGTATAAGACGTAATGGGACTGCAGACAGAAATATTCCTATTTTCCATGCCATAGTTACTGTGATGAGGGATTTTGGTTGAGTATGGCATACAAATATTCATGCCAAATTGTTGTTCTGAAACTTTGGAACGTTGTTACAATAAAGTCAATTGAATTGAATGGTAAAAACTACTTAATATCGTTAGTGAACATTGAAAAAATAATTATCTGATTTTTTACCCAACACTAATTTAGGGCGAAATCATCTCAAATCCTCCAACATTCTTTCTTCTACTTGGTTTATTTTCATCGGTCTATAAACAAACAGCTTCAAAGAAGTTAATAGCCGTTTAATTCGACATAAAGTATCTAAGTGCTGGATTGTTACTGTTGCAGCCACCTTTGTCATCATCAGACAGCTCGGACGACACCTCATCGGCATGGCAATCGGTATTCGCAGTAGTGACGGACCTTGAGGTGCGTTTCTACGAGGCCGCCCCTTGGTCTGCGGAGGCCTGGCGGGCTCCAGCCGAGGCGTACCCATTAGCAGCTGCTCGTTTGGTTGCGGCCCCTAGCATTCCGGGCAGTGGCCACCGCACCACCGAGTTTGGCATTCGATGCGCGACGACGAGGGGCGTTGTGGCACATCGCTTGCGAGCTGAGACGCATCGGGATCTTGCCCAGTGGGCGCGCCATCTAGTGGACGGAGCACATCACAGTGCTGTGCAACAGAGGGAACTGGTTTGTCGTAAGTATTCGAAAAATATTCAATTGCAAGAACTTCTATTTTCATAGCATTTTTGTAAAGATGGACTGGTTTACACATGCGCGGATCCAGGGGATGTCTTGATCCCTAGTCCCTGGACGAATCTAGTTTGACCACTAATATTTATGACTTTCAAATCTCATTGATAAATTTAATAATATATAGACGTTTGCAAATATGTAATGGATACAAACCAGATTTTGTGGAAATAAGAGGGTTGCGTAAGAGACTTACTAGACTGGTTGCCTATATGTTCAGTTTTGCGGAAATAAAATACTGATTCTGCGTATTTGGGATTTGTGTTAGTGCATTATTGGAAATTGAGCCTCATGTGTTCTGTTATTGGGGTAGTAGTACCGTACATGAAACTTAAATTAAAATATGTTATTATGTAGGAATGAAAATAGTGAATTCGTTCGAGTTCCGACGTGCGGGAATTATCGATCACGCACGTAACATGAGTGGACTCAGGGTCTCTCTTTTCAGGGCAACTGCTCCCCCTCTCCCTGCCCCCCCCCCCCCCTGGCGACACCCTTGAACACACATCTTGGATAGTACACGCTGGAGACTATATAACTTTTTTATGGCTATTTTTCTAGAATTACTCAAGAACGATACATGTTTAAAAGATATAATTTGATTCCAATAATCTTATGAAACCTCGTACATGAACACGTGTCGCAACAATGAGTATATTTAATACTTGTTATGCTATGTAAAGCATCTTACGAGTTGGAGATAATATGAAGAAGTGATGTTTTGGTTAAGCGTTTTTAACGTCCTTGTTTCTTTTAGTCCAGTATTATTCATTATATCATTTCCGTATTTTGTTTCACTCTAGGATGTGTTTGGAAAGGGCGGCCAGCGCAATTGATAATACACTACGAGAACGGGTTCACGCTATTGGAAACAACAGGAGCTGGTGCTAGAACTTTATGGAGGTATCCATTCGATCGGCTGCGAGCATCGTCAGACGATGGAAAACGATTCCTTTGGCTAGACTTCGGCTCTGGGGAAGATTCTGATGTGGTAAGGATCTTATATTAGCTCTATACAGAGTGTTCCAAAAACATGAACACATCCAAATATCTCTGAAACTAAGAGTGCTAGAAAAAATCTTTCATACAGAATCTTTTTAAAATCAAATGGCGCATCTAGTGGTGTCCTTGAATTTGAAGTTGATTCCTTTTAACGGTATAAATAGCATAAGGGCTAAAATGACATCTAGAGGTTATTTCAAGGTCAGTTGTTGCTTTTTCATGGAATGTTGTAAAGTAGTGGATAGCTGGAAAAATAAGAATATCAAAGAAGAACTTTTGAATCGAAAATTCCAAGTTTTCAATCAAACCATATTCAAGCCTTACTGCCTCCCTAAAATTTACAAACCCGGGAAAACAATGACACTGACAGTATCAGCTATAGGTTCTCCTACATATAGCATACCTAAGCTTTTGGTAGAGGAGTTCGAAGAACTTACACTACCATTAGAAAGTCGGTCAGTCAATTATTCTTAAGAATTCATAGAATAACTCAAATATCTTGGAGCTGGGAGCAATAGCGGAAGATGTGCGAGTATTTAATAAACCGACTTGACGAGCCGTAAAACTCTTTTGTAGTAATATTTGCCACGCGAAGGCATCCAACATCACATTATTGTCCATTTGATGAAAGTAGCCGCTGACATCGAGCACTATTCCAGGTGGCCAGTCTCAAATAGCCAAACGAAATATTATTTAAAATTGCGATAGTAGCATTCTTTTGTCTGGATCAAGGAAATATTTGCTTGCACTGCAAATTTTATCGATGCTGCATATGCATAAAATTTGTAGTGGATAGCTTTACCCGTGTAGATTATATTTGTCTCGGTTTTGTAACGACAACTTCAATGCCATCTAGAGATTGGGACATATATCGTCGACTGATGTTATGTTCGATGTCATCATTGAGATTTTTTTGTTTCAGGAACTTGATTTGGAAGGATGTCCAAAGCCAGTGGTATTCATACTGCACAATTTTCTATCCGCCAAAATTCATCGACTTGGGCTGACTGCCTAAGAAGTATTTCTGTCAATTTTATAACTACGTTATATATACATTATATAATTTTTTACAAGCTATAGTTGTGTAAGATACTTGTATGGTAGTTAATGTCCCCGTCTAATTGTGTAGTTTTTAGATGATGCTCCTACTATCAAAGCCATCTTGAAAACTGGTTTATTCGTTTTTATAACTATTTTTGCACGTAACAGATAAAATCGTTACTTTTCTCATCTACGTCGACATTGTTGAACAATATTAACGCATCATGTTTTATAAAAAATCTGGATCCAAAATATTTCCTAATCACAATAATATGACCCAGGAAAAACGATTTTTCATATATTTCGTTAATACTTAATGCTATTTAGTCATCATCCTATGAGACTACCGTTTTTCCTTTTTGTTTTAAACGCAAGTTAACTTGTTCTTACTTATGCAGGGGATTTGATTTCATCCATTTTGTAACCAGAGAACCGTCTGGTTTACCTTAAACTTAGGTTATGTTGGAGTGCATCTGAAATTTAGGAATACAGTATTTTCACTGAATCAAAGTAGTTACGTCACAACGTCAAATAATGACAGTAACGCACATGGTTGCCACATTAAATAAAACTACTAGATCCTAGGACGTTTTATAAAATCTACTTCATGTCTTCGATGCTTAAGAGGACACCCCAAAGTTTTGAAAAAAACTGTTTTTATAAAATAACAATGCAAATATTGAGGCAAAAAGAACGAAAATAAACCACAAATAAACAACAGCCGTTGGCGTAATTATTATACCTGACAAGCTTTGCGACAATGTCCCAACACAGAAAAGTGTTACCAATATAAATGTACCCGGGAAATTCAAACTATACGTACCAATCTATTCTATTTGGCATTAAATTTACTATATATGAAGTAACTGCTTTGTTTCAGTGAAAGGACTATAAATTGCATTTTAAGAACGCATATTCCAAACAAACATGGTAAATGTCATAATGCAAGCGAGAAATATATTCTGCCGCCATTAAGCTGGCACCGGACGGTGAGCGATAATATAATATATATTATATCCTGCATATTACAGAAATATCGCTCCATGTCTAAACCTATTGAGACGCCACGCACGAACGCTATAAGATATATTTACATCCCAGCGATATATTAAGTATCTGTCGGGATATGCTTACCGAGCGATATTCTGTGCTGTATCGTGCTATATCTATTCCCCTCTTGAGTCGCGTCACCCGTAAATGCCCACGAACCGCTCTTGCTGGCAGCCGGCTTGGCGCGATGCTGCTATTTTATTATTTGTTCTTGCACTTCGGAATTCGCAATAGACAAAATGGAGTATTTTTTTGAAAGTGTAAGAAAACGTCCATGTTTATGGAAGGTAGACTCGAACGAGTATGAAAATAATGAGATTAGAGAAGCAGCTTGTAGGAGTATCATCGCTGATTGCGATATATCCGGCGGTATGAACTTGTAAATATTTATTTTTATATACATAGGTAGTTTGAAAACTAATACTAGGGAAGCCCAAGAGGGGATTTTAGGATTTACTCAAGCGCGGCAGATTAACATATAGGGGATACCTTGTTAATTAAATACACTGTGTACACCACAGATTACCAGATCAGCCTACGCACAGGAATGCTGAAAAATCGGTAGGTTCGGCAACACTGCTAGAAAGATATGAAAATATATATTCTGTAGTCCATTGCAGTCATAATATAATATTATAGCGTATTGTACGACTATAATATATATTATATTATCGCCCACCATCCGTTGCCAGCTTTAGGCTGTTAGCTTAACCGTGGAGAAAATGTGACGTCGGATTGCGACAGCCTGCAATAATAATAATAATCAAAACGGTAACTTATATCAAAATAATGCTCTACTAGATTTTACCATGGTAGATACTGAAAATTCCTATGATATTATATACTCGTAAGTAACTAGTCCATGAACTCACTCGGTTGTGGTTATTCATGGTGCCTTTTTTATCGCCAATCCGTATTATGAGCATTAAATATTGATTTTGATTTTTTGGTATGAAATACTTGTCATTTGATGACGTTATTACAGCAAATGGATTAATGGATTGAACGAGCTGAGGGTAGGTATAATAATATCCAGCCAAACCAGACTCTCAACTTCTTGCGGAGCCATATTCACTTTGAACTGTAAACCAGAAGGACGAGTTTTAAGATTAAAAAGCTACTCAGTGGCAGCGAAGAAAAAGGCCAAAAACAAAAATCATAAATATCGCTCAAACCTCGTTTTCCGACGATCCTCATAATTTTTGAAAAAAATTTCAGAGGTAAAAAAAGCGGCTATGGTAGGAAGCGGTGCGGCGACATGCGAGTACGGGTATTATTTCTACTGTATCTTATATAAGTATGAGCGTTATGCTTGGAGCTATTATAATCAGAAGTCAAATATTGTAGACAGGCCGTTTTACACCAGAGCTCCAAAGAAATGAGTTTCGCGTTTACGGACACGCTCAATGCTGTAATCTGAGGAAAGTTTTTTCATGAAAAGTCTAAATAGTTCAATTTTTATTCTGACAAATGTCTTTTTGGTGTAATTGCACTACATGTAAAATTGTTCTAAAAGTTGTTTTGAAGTCGTGAGTATAGAGTCAATATACATGACACCATTTTTTTACATTATATCGAATTTTTACGTAATATTCCGGCAGAGCCAAATGAAATCAAATATAAGGGTGTAGACCGTTGGCGTTTGAGCTTACAGTCGAAAAGCAATAAAAAGTCAGTCTCGGAACTGAGTTACGCGAAGAGTACTTACCAAATGAATATGAATGAATTACATTGCAAGTTGCGAGAAAATAAGAATTAAAATGAAAACTCGTCACAGATTTCCAATTCATAAAAGAACCTAGGACAAAAAAATAAATCAATGATGTTTGAACCGCAGAATTGTGAGGTTAGAATTTAGAATATAAACCCTATTTAACGAATATCCATTACATTAGAAGGACAGCTGATTATCTAGTAATATTGCAAAATTCCCCTCATCGGTAAAGGTCACATAATTCTGATGGATCCTTCAATGCCAGGTAGACAGAGCCATATTTTGTGTTGGTTTTTTGTACGCTACAGATTCATTTTGTACTTGCTAAAAGCTCTTTTATTTAGAAAATTTCATATTCATACAAAAAACAAAACGCAACAAACAAGATTTACTAGATTTACACCCGATTCATTACTGCCAACGTTGTAGACTAACACAAAAATGTCACTTGCTGATCATCTGGCATGCGTTTGTAAATCACTTGGTAATGTAATACCGTACATAGTAATGGAATGTAGATTGACATACGAAATTCTCTGGAATACCACTGGAATACTGTGAAACTTTATTTTCAGAACGCCTAAATTATTACAGACTAATTTCTAACCACGTTTTTTGCGATCATTGTAATTATAATAAGAGATCCTAGGGATGGGGGGTAGCATTTATCATGAAAAATATATATTCTGCCAATTTTGAGCAGTTGTTGATAACCAAATAAAATAAACAAACAATGAACCATGAGAATGATAAGTGACAGAACTCTTATTCCTAAGGTTTTCAGCTCGGGAAGAAAAGCACACTTTTGACGTTTCAGAAGAGTTATGTTCTATTTCCGAACGCAAGTAACATGTACGTCAAACAATTACGAACGCTAAAATTGTTACAGAGTAGTACAAAGTACACTCTTAACAATTTACGAACCCAGCCCTGTTCACCTCATTAGACGTCAAAACGTAATGGATGCTCTTGAAAAATACCATAGATATTTGTAATCGTAACATGACCTCAAAATAGAGCGCTGACTTGGAACAGTAGAAAACTATGAAAACCAAGGAGGCCATTAAGGCGCCCTACAATTGTACGAACGACTGACGATACGGCCCTTAATAAAAAAGTTGTTAGCAAATATAAAATAAATCCGTAGTGTACAAAAAAAAACAACAAAACACGGCTCTGACTAACTGGCGTTGACGGTTCCGAAAGAATTGTGTTTCTTGTCATTATGGAAGAATTTGAAATATTACTAGATAATTAGCTGTAATTCTACCGTAATGAATAGTCGTGAAAAAGACTGTACTAACAAGTTATTCAAAATTATTGTAAGCGAAACTTCCAATCGTTGATGGCATTATCATGACTGCAATCATCTAAAATCATACACTACATTAAATTATCATCATACCTGTCCATTATTCTGAAATTTCGAATGTATGAAATGTATCTTGGCAAAACGTATTTAAAATATTATGCTTTCAAAGACATCATATCTTGTATCATATGTTGTGCCCTAAAGTAACAAACGTTGAAAACAAAGAATCTGAGACTCCAGTAGAATTAGTTAATGTAATATTTGAGAGGCTATAGGCTACAGATGAAAATTGCTCTCACAGGTATCCAAATCTGAATCGATCCAAATTAAGGCAACATTTTGAAAAATGCCGATGATACATATATTCTGGGATTTCTTATAGATCTGCGGAACCTATAGATTCGAGAAAAAAGTCCGTTGAATGCCGTTTTCGAGTTTTTGGTTAGGCTGAGAGAATTGCGCAAACTTAAAAATTCACCTTATATAGATGGTTTTTGCGTTTTTTTTTTCCAGAACCACTAACAAAATCATGAATTTTGCCCAGAATATCGCCAAAAAACCAAAAAAAAAAAAAAACATAACCACCTGTTTTTCTCTCAAAAACTAAGTTTGCATAAGTATTTTGGCCCATTCTTTCAGGTTACGTTGTCAAAATTATGATTTGTGGTTCGCCAATTGTGAAAAAATGATACACCGCATTTTCGCTGCTTTCTTTGATTTTTGAAAATTTAGGTCAGTAAAAGAATGCTTGGCTAACTCAAAAAACCCGCTATACACGTATGCGTGGATTGGGTTTTTTTGAGTAAGCGAAATTATGGTACCCTAGTCTGAAAATGTCTGAAATTGGAAAAAACTACATATATACAATAGGTTACTGTGTTAGCCAAGTATTCGTTTCCTGATCAAAACTTCCAAAATTGAAGAAAATCGACGAAAATGTGGTTGTTCCTATTTTTGCATTTTCTCCAGAAGAAATCAAAAATTTTACTATATCACCTAAAAGAATCGACAAAAATACGTGTGTTTATCGGGTTCTTCCGTTTGTCAACTTATGATATCCTGCGTTTAAATTGACAATATTTGGAGAAAATGCGGTTTTCCTATTTTTGACGTTTTTGCGGGAAAAAATGAATGATTTTATAGTGGATCAGAACAGAACGCAAAAAGGACTCGATCCTATACAATCCACAAATCTATAAAAAATCACGGCTATGCAGGATCTAACAGTGCAGTATCGGTAATTTTTTTAAATGTTTTAGCAAAAATGCGCCCATAAAAAATATTCACGAAAAAAACACACTTTTGCGATTAGGGGCTCGTAGTTGCGACCTATCGATCTGAAAATTTGGCCAAGGTGATTTGACCCAATTTCCATATGAAGTTTCGGCCATAGCCTTTTTATCCTATCGTTTTCATGCACGATCCTGTCACCTAAATGGCCATTCTGAATTTGTACTTTGAGAAAAATCATGGTTTTCATATATTATAAGACATAGACGCTAGACATTATACAGAGATTCATCCGTGAATAAGCCTTATTTTAGGGTACAGATATGTATCAGTTACTACGATGCAGGCTGTATCAATGATAATAATACCAAACTCCAATGATGATGTTTTACACATTATGATATTTTCTGATATTCGTGACTTTGTCATTGCAGCTTTCTTTGGCAAGACTGCCTCGCCTCTTTATTATACTTAGTTGACATTCGAAATTTAGAGATATCACATACCAACATCTCCATTTCTTTGATTTATCCGTGAATCATATACCTAGCTTAAAAGTAGAAAAGATGTTTGTTTGTGGAGTTTGGTGTTTTCTTCTAACTAAACCTGTATAGCGTGATTCACGATATGTTCGGAGCAAAACACACAGTATTTAAACACAGACACTAAATAATAAATAGTCAACAACAGTTCAACTACGTAAAAAGCTATGGTTACTAAAGAGATTTACCATTTGCCAAACCGATTTTTTCACCATCCGTGATTATCTATATTAGGGAAAAGATGTTTATATGAAGACCTTTGGTCTAAAGAACACTCTGCTAATCCTCAAGCTTGTGGAGCTTGTGTTGATTTTGTTCTAGTATGACTGATGTGATGATATGTAGAATATCCGTTATGTCGAAATGTATGTGCTTTGTTGCTCGAAAATATCGTGAATCGCTATACCAAATAAAAAATAAACTATCTGTAATAATCGAATCCTAGAATTAGTTCATCTGTGTTGTTTATCGATAGCAGATAAGGAAACAAATAACACACACTATCGGTCTATTCATAAATTTGTGCCTTTGATAAGTATATGTTTCCAGATATATGGTACAAATCTACTACTTATTTGTTACTTTTTAACGTTATGTAAGACAATAGTCATTCCACTAGTCATGTATGTCCCTTGTTCGTTTACTCAGGAATCACATCTTTGTTGATGCAGCTTCTGCAGTGTTATTTTAAATATATTTTATCTTATAGCCTACTAATCATGTGAACTTGTTCATATACTTGGGCATTATTTTCTATATATGTACATGATTTACGGTTTTCATTACAAAAATTAATAGTTTGTCGTAAATTATTTCCTAAATTGTTAAATACATACATACATTGCAGTATTCATACTTATATTCTACTTTTATTTCTAACGGTTTGTTCGTTTAGGAATGCTTTTTAAAAATAAAAAAACATTATTGAGTTATATGCTACCCAAGTCATGAAGCATGCTTGACATTCATTTTTTGAACATTTTTTCAAATGACGACTGCTATTGCGTTTCATTATGGTCTACTCTAGAATTTCCAATTTTCAATGACGCGCACATGTTTTTAAACAAGACGGTGCGGCGTTACTGCCACAATAAATCGGAGAGCAGCAAATTTCTCGTTTTCGCACCGATAAATTGGTCGCCTAGATCGTGTTGTTTTGGCAGACCAAAATAGACCGTGTTACTCGCAGTATGGTAAATGTTTGCAAAAATAATTTTAAAAAAAATGAATGACATGGATGTTTTCTTTAGTTGTATCTTTTTTATACTCTTGAAGGAAGTGCTTCTAAATGAACCAATTATTTAAAGTAATTTTAGATTTTTTGGGCAAAATGTATATCTACTAAAATCTAATAAGGTTAGGTGATCATGAGAATTAACAAAATAACATAGAAACTTGGTAGAGGTGGCACATTTTCTACTTGACTTGACTCTCAATATATTAACTGTATTTTTGTGTCAGAGCTGTCTCATGCTGCGAGTTCGTTCTTGTTGTAACGTTAGCGTTCATTTGCGTACGTTTAGGTTTTTTTTTTATCAATGGTAATCAAATCGATAGTATTGTAACTCAACGTTTTTTCAGCAGTATTAACATTTCTAGATGTGTTTCTTTTAGTCGTGAACCGCTAGGTACATAAGGCAGCTGTATCTCCAGTTCCAATATTCAGAATCTAGGCATTTTTAGAAACATATGACTCTATTACAGATCAAAGTAGATCGCTGATTTTTGTCATTACAGTCCCAAATTCTATTTGATAAAGCAACGGAAACGGTTCACGAGATAGTCAAAGACCTATACTAAAGTTTACGATTGCAAAACCTGAATCCGAATTATATCAGGCGTTACCCTTACAGTATTTTACCTCAGTCTATTTGTTTTCCTCTGTATTATTATATTCACTCAGTATAGACGTTAATTCAAAGTTTCATTATTTTTTTACAAAACAAAATTCATGCGTTGTTTTGATTATTATGATTGTTAAGATTTCATATGGCTAGGTTAACGCGTTAAATATCACGAATTCAGCATTATGCTCTATTTTGGAGATTTTATGTGAAGGTATGTTGTCGAATGCTAAAGTCAGTGATCCATTTGTTTACGATATGCCGTATTGAAAAACTCAGATATTAAGCTAAAATTGCTGTGTCAGTGTCAGAGGAGACGAATCATCATGCAAATTGTTTGGCAAATTTTTATACATATATTTCTACATTCCAAACGATGAGTGTTTAGCTACGTTTGCAGACGACACTTTAATATATGCAATGATTAGCAAAGTCTGAATTAAGTGTCAATTTGAAAAAAATATATTTAATGAGGAACATATAGAACGAAGGAAGCGCTACAGAATGAAATCACATTAATCTCTTCACCATTATCAGATGGAACAAAATGAGGCGCTTCATTATGAGGATTGTTAGACATGATTGACAAACAATTTTCAGTCTATACTTGAATGTAGTTTATTTTGTGAATATTGACATCTTCCATTGAAGTAGTACTTGAGCTTGAGTTATATAACGCAAAACGTATATTTTCGCTTCACAAGTTCCATACCTCACTAATATTATGTACTGGGTCGTCATACAATTTGAATACAAACACAAGTAGTCTTGTGGAAACTTAGATGGAAAACAGGAGCAATCATGCGCATGTTCGCAGTAAAGGAACAGGAGCATAAATAGATACCTCGTAAACAGGAGGTATTCTCACAAATATGCCTGCTGGCTCTTGTTGGTGGCTTCTAGTTGCATTCCCCTTCCATCCTTGATTTCTTTCGGGTTACACCAGCCAATAAGCAGAAACGCACGTCGCTCGGGTTAGCAATCCTTCTATTTCTGCTACTGTCCCTTTATTGCGAACATGCCCACGGTTGTCCTTTGTTTTTCATAACATTTAAAACTTGTTCCCACCTAAGCAAATTTTTAAATTGTTATATCATAAGAATCTATTGACGTCGGAGTATCAACAAATTGAATATATGTACAATATTGAATCATAGAGTTGTAAAAATTGAAAAAGAACCAATT